CTAAGATGTTCAGTAGGTTTAGATATTTTAGGGACAGGTATTAAATGCATTGGTATGGTAATCATACCAATGCATTTAATTTGCTTGAAGAAAATAACCATTTTGTAGATTACAGATTTCTGGATGTTTTATGGGAATAAGCATTTAATTTTAGGTAGAGTAAAAGGGACGATTCTGGAATTTTCCAGATAGTTTTAAGATAGTTCAAGTCTATACTAATTTTGAGCAAATAGGTCAGTAGTGACCTTGAATTCAACCTTCAAGTCTATTTCAACGTTAGCTTTTTTTTTAAATAGAAACCCTCCTTTTTGATATCCGCAAACGAACGAACGGAAGATTCTCCGTATCATAGTTGAAGAAAAGGGTTCTACCTCAACGTGAAATGAAGGTTAAGGGACGTACGGGTGGAAAAAATTGCAAGAACTTTAGCAGGATTATTGATGAAAAAAAAATGTTTCCAGTAACTTTCAACAAGGATTTCGATAGTGACCTTGGATTTTACCTTGAACCTCAGCTTCAAGGTCATACCAACTTCATATTTTTAACTATATTTGACATCGACAATGGAAAATTTCACGTTCTAATATACTAAGTGACATATAAATCCGAACACCCAGTTTAAATGGTTTTATTTTAATAATATTTTGTATAAGTACTTAATGAAGCATAATAAGTAAATGATAAAAATTTCAAAATGATTGCACTGCTTTAAAGCCCTTTGACCTTTAATAATGTGTGGATGCACCCTGATGTGCTACGCATTCTCCAACGCGCCTAGGAATGCTTCTGATCAGGTGGTCAATCTCCTCCTGTGGTATCTCATTCCAGGCAACCACCAACTCCTCTCGAAGTGCTTCTAGAGTCTGAGGAGGACGTTGCAAATTGAGCAATCTCCTACCCATCATATCCCACACGTGCTCAATTGGGGATAAGTCGGGAGATCTTGGTGGCCATGGTAACAATGTGACATCATTATGTTGAAAGAAGTCTATTGTGACTCTTGCAACATGTGGTCGGGCATTATCTTGTTGGAAAGTTGGATCTGCCAGGGTGTCAAGATAGGGTAAAAGATGGGGTTCTAGAACTTCGGGGATATAACGCTGCGCGTTCATGTTACCTCTGATGAAGATTAAAGGTGACCTGGAACCATAAGCTATAGCACCCCAAACCATAACTCCAACAGTGTGATGAACATGAAAACTGTGGATTCCTCCTTTCACCACGTCGCCTTCTAACCCTGGCACGACCATCGTGCATGTCTAAACAAAATCGAGACTCGTCACTAAAGACAATACTGTTCCATTCCTGATCCCAGAGTGACCGTTGTCTGCACCACTCAAGGCGATTACGTCGGTGTTCTCGAGTTAAAGGGAGGACCCAGTGTGGCCGGTATGAAAACAAGCCAAAACTTCTCATTTGTCGGTAAACACTTCGCATGCCAATAGGTCTTCCGTGTTCAGCAAACCATTCATTTGCAATGGACCTGGTAGTGGATAAACGGTCCCTTAATGCCAATAATCTTAGGCGGCGATCTTCACGGTCTGTTGTTCTACGGCGGCGTCCAGTGCCCCTGGCTCTTTGCGTACGGCCTTCTCGAAGCCATCCCTGACAACACCTAACCACAGTGTCTACACTTCTTTGCACTCTAACTGCAATTGCCCGAAAAGAAAGTCCAGCTTCCCGAAGTCCCACTATACGGCCCCTATCAAACTCACTAAGTTGACGAAATCGTACAGGTCTCCGTCTTTCAACAAAAAACTGTGGATTCCTCCTTTCACCACGTAGCCTTCTAACCCTGGCACGACCATCGTGCATGCCTAAACAAAATCGAGACTAGTCATAAAGACAATACTGTTCCATTCCTGATCCCAGAGTGACCGTTGTCTGCACCACTCAAGGCGATTACGTCGGTGTTCTCGAGTTACAGGGAGGACCCAGTGTGGCCGGTATGAAAACAAGCCAAAACTTCTCATTTGTCGGTAAACACTTCGCATGCCAATAGGTCTTCCGTGTTCTGCAAACCATTCATTTGCAATGGACCTGGTAGTGGAGAAACGGTCCCTTAAGGCCAATAATCTTAGGCGGCGATCTTCACGGTCTGTTGTTCTACGGCGGCGTCCAGTACCCCTTGCTCTTTGCGTACGGCCTTCTCGAAGCCATGCCTGATAACACCTAACCACAGTGTCTACACTTCTTTGCACTCTAACTGCAATTGCCCGAAAAGAAAGCCCAGCTTCCCGAAGTCCCACTATACGGCCCCTATCAAACTCACTAAGTTGACGAAATCGTACAGGTCTCCGTACTCTAGGCATCGTAACCGATCGTAAAGGATATCAAGAACCAAAATCCGCCAACGTTGATTCTTTACTGCGGCTGAAATATTCATTTTTAGAGCGTTAGTGAATTAAAAAATAGCAGTATAAAAACCGGAATGTCCAACTGATAAGGCTGAAAATTTTTTCACTTGTTATTTACAGTAAGATAAATACATTCACCAACTTTTATTAAAATAAAACCATTTAAACTGGGTGTTCGGATTTATACGTCACTATATGTCTTAATACCGGAGCGGGTAAAATGTATCGCCTATGCTGATGACTTGGCAATCATGGCGCAGCCGAATCATGGAAGAGAGCTACACATAGTGGTTAACGAAGTACTTACGAGAATAGATGAGCGGATGACAGCAAGGGATCTAGGTCTGGCTCCACACAAAACGAAAGCGATTATCCTGAGAGGCCTGCGTAAAAGAGATGCGCCTAACCTTCAAATTAGCAATTAATCCCGACTGTAGCACAGTGGGTAAATTGCAAACATCGAAATTTGCATTACCACCTGACGCAGTTCTCAACTACTTTGGTTCATACACCAAAAGATTGAAAATAACAAAGGAAAGCACCTGCGGATATTGCGGCAACGAAGACACGGCTGAACATACAATGATAAATAGGTATGGAGAGGTGCTTTCGACAGGCAAGTTGGAGAAAAGATTAATAAGGCAAACATCATACGCCTTATGATGGATAATAGACAAAACTGTCGCATAAAAGTTCATCAGAAACGTGATGACAACTAAAAGACTAGAGGAAGTGGTTTAGTGGGTATATTAGAATGTAGCTGAAGTCCCGCACTCCCATGTACGCTGGAACCACGGCGTATGGGTTCCGTAAAATGGATTCCCACCTCCCGGTCCCCTAGGACCACTAAACAAAGAACTGAAAATCCAGCATTTGGTAACAAATGTAAACTCTGCTTTTTCCCACTTCTCTAATGTTGATACTATCACTGATACTATTCAACTTTAATAAAGAAAAAAATAGTTGATTATCCACATTATATATACAGGGTGACTTTGAAGTTGAGTCATTAATTTTCAGAGAATGATTGTAGAAGGAAGATAAACCAAAATATGTGTGTAAAAATAAAAAAAAAATGTTACCTTGTTTTATAAAGTATCCTCCCGACAAGTATTTCAGTGCGGACCTGTATTTGATCGTGCGGTCTTGGAACACCGGCATGCCCTCCCCTGTGAGGTCTTAAGTCACCTGATTCACGAGCCCTTTGTATTACATTAACAAAGGCACGAGGGGTTGGTTGCACTCGATTGGGAAACCGATCCGCATAAATCCGTGACGCCGCGTAAATAAGAATCATGTCCACAAGTTCAGCATTTTCGTAAACATGTGCTATTTTTGATTTCGTTTGAGCCACGCAACAGACACCACTATTCACTCACGCGTTACCGACTGACACTGACTGTATACAACTGAATAAAATAATTGTAAAAACATCGTTCCAAATTCTTTCGCTTTTTTGTTTCCGATGCGATGAACCGATAAGGCGGATTATATCCGGTGTTGCCAAACACGAGCACATAATATTATGTCTCAATAATAATATTTGGAGAATTTGGAACGATGTTTTTACAATAATTATTTTATTCAGTTGTATACAGTCAGTGTCAGTCGGTAACGCGTGAGTGAATAGTGGTGTTTGTTGCGTGGCTCAAACGAAATCAAAAATGGCACGTGTTTACGAAAATGCTGAACTTGTGGACATGATTCTTATTTACGCGGCATCACGGATTTATGCGGATCGGTTTCTCAATCGAGTGCAACCAACCCCTCGTGCCTTTGTTAATGTAGTACAAAGGGCTCGTGAATCAGGTGACTTAAGACCTCACAGGGGAGGGCATGCCGGTGCTCCAAGACCGCACGATCAAATACAGGTCCGCACTGAAATACTTGTCGGGAGGATACTTTATAAAACAAGGTAACATTTTTTTTATTTTTTTTTTATTTTTACACACATATTTTGGTTTATCTTCCTTCTACAATCATTATCTGAAAATTAATGACTCAACTTCAAAGTCACCCTGTATACCCAAGTTTAAGCAGCCTAGTCTAGACTATAGACGTATATTCCAATGTCAAGGGTTATAATTTACACAACTTTTAATCAATCAACTAACGAGTAGTTTTTCATACCCATACTAGAATGTCTCACCTTCTGGTCTTCAGCATGGTGGGCTTACGGATTTCAAAAAATTGCTTCAAATGTGATTTTTTTCGAAGAAGCAAATTTTATCAAATGGAATTTACATGATGGCTCACATTATTTGTAGCATAACAGACGGTTAAACTATCTATGTATTAAGGATTACTGGACTAACTCTTGGCACCTGGTGCGTCATGCAATCCCCGTGTTAATTTGTACAATACCATCGGTTTGATGTAAAATTCACACCAACGCAACGCTGTTGAAGCATTACTCCCTGGGATCGATTTATTCATTAGCATTGTCAAACTACAAAATTGTTTATAAAAGTTGTGAAAGCTAAAAGCTATTTGTTTATATGTCAAATATTTGTGCATAATCTATTAGAACTACATAAATATACGTTCCTGAATATAATCTGGTTAAATAGTTTTCAACTAGTTGTTTCTTGCATGAGTGACCTGTGGTCGTACCATTTGCAATGGAATGCTTACAATGTATAGATGTTTTCGTTGGTGTTGTTAGGGCTGTTGAAGACACTGATATACTGGACCAAGAAATTTGGAAAAAGAATGTCCGCTCCATTTTCTAAGAGGCTCCATCAGGTAATATACTATGTTACTTCTCTGGTTAAATGAGACCAGAAGATAACTTTTAATAACGTTTCGGCCACCACGATGACGATGACTTTTTCAAAATACAGATCAGAATGAGGTTTCATTTGCTTTTGCCGCTACTATACAGTGTATTCTAAAAATAGTGTGAATAGTTCTGTAACAGGTCGAGATTGCTCAAAGCTATCATCACAATTTATTTCAAAGTTGTCACCGCACAAAACCAGCAAAGCCCAGAACCGCTTCTGGTAGGCATTCTCGCTACCAAAAGACGTCCAGCCGCTAGAAAGCGTCAAGCGAGCATGAGTTGATAAACATCAGATATAACGTTTTGGATTTACCAGACCTCCCTCATCGCCTCGAAAACACAAACGTCATTCGAAAACGTGAAAACTCACCCAGAATTGCTGTCACAACGCACCGCCACCGGTTGACTGTTACGTTAGCTTCGACTACTAATGCCTTGTTGCTTGTCTAGTAGGAAAACAATACAAGTCACAACAGTCTTGAGGTGGTTTATGTTATTATCTCACAAGACAATGCCACGCCTTTTTTTATAAACAAGAGGATGATTCTTCTTTTTTTTAAATTAATTAATGAATTCATCAGACGCTATTAATGAAATCTAAGGATCAGCCAATGCAATACAGCTGTCTGGTAGCGAGCAAATTTAGGCATTAGCGCAATAAAGCGGAGAGTAGGGGAGTTAAGAGCGTCAGTGACTTAAGACGGATTAAGCCACAAATCCCCGAGTTGTTAATCGTAACTTGTTTTGCCAGACCACCCACACAAAAGAAAAGAATCTCACAGTTATGACAACACCTAATTAATTGTACACATTATTATCAAAACAAGCAGCACATATTATGCCCCATCACTGGAATGCAAGTTAAAAGAAAGGATATTATTCAAAACTACCTGTCAATAAAATTAATAGAGCGAGATAACTAACTCTGCAAAGCATTTACCATGGTACGAATGCTTTACAAATATTTTAACGCCTAAACCTAAGCTTATCTGGATAATGGTCTTCTTCCAGTTACAGCTCTAGGCGCAGCCGAGATGTCCTCAGCTCACAAACGCTCAGGTCAAAAACCAATCGCCAGCAGTGGGCATTGTCATGAGAAACGTCACAAGGTGCTTGCCTCGTTTTCCAAAATTTACAGTATAAAAAAACCCTAGAGAAAAATCGTCCCGTTACTCTCTATCTGAGACAAAACTACTCGTTGAGAACACTCAAATGATAGTTATCCCTTGTTATAAAATAAAGTTATGGTAGTTCAAAAATCAAAATCATGATCAATGTAATGTAGTAAGCCCAAAAGAAGGTGACATGTAGGCACTGCCTTATATTTGAATACGAAAAATGCCGGGAAAAATCAAGTACACTCTAAGAATTTCAGTCAGGAATAATTCTATCAGAGGGAAGGAGTAGCTTCCAGTAAAATCGGCTGTGAAACAGCTACAAGGCAGCTACAAAACAAAGCTGGAGGAGTGTGAATGGTGTTTCTCCGCAATGCTTTCCCACTAAAAGGAAGCAGATATTGAACAAACTTCTTCAGGACATGCATTAATGCTCGTGGTCCGATGGTATACAAAAAAGAACTCATCCCTGAAGGTTAAAATCCCATTAGAAAATGGACGGGGTAGCACCCAAATCAAAACAACTTAGCGTAAGGTACAAAATAAAAGGGTACTACCCCATAAACTGGTGTTTGGAAGTTCAATATCCCAGAATCTGGAAATTGTAGTAAACCAGATATCCCTTATAGGTTTTTAAAAGAAGGTATCTTGATGGGGAACCAAACATTCCTACACGGCTAATACGTACAGAAATCACAAGGTGGCGCTGGTTTTCTCTGAGATAGTCGCTAATAATACTATGTATAACATTAGTGTCCAAAAGATTTTAACACAACACTGAATTGCTGAGAAAGAAAGATATGATACGTGTGAAATTATGCAATCAATAAACTTTGAAATTTGCCAAAAGAAAATTATTAAAAAGGGTTTGTCCTGGGACTCGGCAGTCTACCATTAATAAAGAGAAATTCAAATTACTGGTAAGTGGTCAAAATAGTAAAAAAAGGTTACGTGATTTTGGCACGTGATAACAAACAATATACCGAAGTACCATTTATTGCATTTGCACCGTAGTGACCGAAATGCCAGTAAAATCATAGAATATGTTTCAGATGTTCAATTAACTATTGTTTATACATTTTTTATAGTACGTCTAAAAGACTTGTCAGAGTGGTTTTAGTTATTCGTGTTTAGAACTAGTTGCAGGTGCCAATATTCTTTCAGCGTCTACGGGTATATCGAGTACCATCAGCAACAATGACAAATAACTGACAAAAGATCCAATATTTGCTTTGACAGCGCGTGACATGGAACTCATAAAAGCAGAAACAGATCTAGGACACTCAAACTGATCTGTTATGATGTCTGTTCTTGACTACTTTATTCAAAGAAACACAAACCATTTTGGGCTTCGCCAATGATGTCAGCCCTGTCGGCCCTGAGTCCTGGGGCAAGTCCAGCCCTGAACAGCGTTTGCAAAATATATAAGCCAGATAAGACCTGTTTTTTTAGTGCCTTTAGCTTCCAACACACTTTAAAAAAATCTTGTCTCAATGGCATACATTTTCAGACATACACCTTTCTGAATACCACAGTGTATATCAGCCTACCGCTAAACCATTGAGAAAAATTTCCAAACAATTCAAAATTGTGTCTACAATAACATAAAGAAAGTGCAGTTTATAGCGCAAAAGCCTAGGTTACAATAAAGTAAGCTTCTAGCTTCGATATATTTCATGTCGATTCTGTCTTGGGAAAGTTCATTTATCTAGCGGCTTGAAAAAGAAACAGCACGAATGATAAGTGACATGTCATTGAGAGAAATGTTGCAAGGTCTGAGAAACCTTCAATATTGGCAGGTTGGAGAAACCAATACTGTTCGACTTCGGATAAACCGGATTCAGTGCGGTGGCCGCAGTAGTAGACTCTTCGGTCTCCTAATCAGTCGCCGTGCGCTGTGCGGGTTCGAATCCCGTCCCAGGGGAAATTTTTCTCTTGGATATGGTTGTTGTGATTGTCCCTAGGTGGTATACGGTCTCTGACTGTCAAACGCGGAGGTACCACCCGGCGGATCTCGTAGGCAGAGCCAGAATGTGTGCATGTTGCATGCACACGTGTTCCCTCGCCAGAGTCCGTGTGGCGTTCCCCCTTTCCCCTGCATCCCCCATAGCCCCACGGTACCCCATGGGTGGTTTAGGCCTTAGGCCTTCATGGCAGTTGGAGTATAAAAAAAAGTGTTGTTATGAACTCATTTATGTCTTGTGTCTACCCATGTTTTAAGATGTATTTACATCAAAGACTGGGATCCTACAGTACGGTATAACGTATAAGCACATATTATGTCATACACATAGATGCGATAGTGACTGGCGGTCACTTTGATCTTGGTGTCACCAACTATTCCACCATTTACCATTTCCATCTTCATCCTTCTATCAATAATAGGCATCCAATATTTTTGCAGAAAGAAACTTGATTGTAAGATGCCCTGTAGCGAATCTCTGAGGAATGAATTCTATGTTTTTTCCCAGTTAGACGAATATGAAGAAACTTGAGATATACAATGTGTTTGGAAACGACATACCGATATTTGAGGGGGATATTTTTCAGCTATTTTTATCGACAAATCCACCCCCTACAATGTCATACCTTACTCTCCTTGAAATGGATCCATACCGCTGCGAACGAAATTAGGGCTGACACGGATATAGTCTGTCGCTCAACACGACACATTGTTTTAAGAACAGCAATGTGCATAACCAATACAGGAGGACATTTTGAGCTTCTGTAACATTAAACATGTCCAAACTCTCTATAAGAAACATTGATTTGTCATTTTTATGTATACAAAGTTTGAAAACAATTTGCATTTTATTACCCCCATTTTGACCCATGTTAGATAGCATTTATTGCTTAACGTAGAATACTTAGGATAACAAAAAGCTGTAGCATTAGCACAAAAAAAGTATAACTTCACAGTCTAGTTGTTTAACACGTTCGCTGCCAGATATATTTTTTTACATGTGTCCAATACGCCAAACATATATTTTACATTGAGCACTAGTGGGCCACCATATAAAAAACACGTTGGTCCCATCGGGGCAGCGCGGCCCAGTGAGGTAAGTTAATACTGTCATGGGCCGTTGGTCCGTTGACGCGTAACATAACCTATATTCTAATATGTCAACAATCAGTTTGAGAAGCTAATTTATCCTGCTCTTGAGAAGAATAATAGCCGCAAGTAGTTTATATTAGTTCAGTAGATAGATATTGTTTTAATTCTATGTATTTATAGATGTCTAAACGTACGAGACCTTTGTCTCAAAGTGAACTACTCAAAATAGCCGTCAATTTTGGGAGCTCAACATCGGATTCAGAATCTATAAGAAACATGTAAAAGTATGTATCGAGGAAAAAAGTGAAATTAAATCCAAACACAAGAACTGTCCAACCGAATATTGATCCTGAAGCGGAGTTAGGTGAAGAACCTTGCGAAGTATCAGAAGCAAACGTAGACCTAGCATATAATTTGGATCCAGAAGAGAACACAGATCTGGATTTAAATGACAGAAATCCACAACGGAACTTAAACATGCCTTCTTTATCGAATTGGGGCCCATTAGCAGGTAACTATAAAAAATACCAGATTTTACGTTCGAGTCAGGAGTAAAATCGGAAGTAGCTGCATTACTGGCACATGGTAAACCGGGAGATTTTTTTTACGCCGTCGTCGACAACAGAGTTATCAGCATGATTTGTGATCAAACAAATCTGTACGCAACACAGACTCTTATGCGTACAGATGCAAAACCAAGCTCTCGCTTGCATGAGTGGATTCCGACAACAAATACTGAAATCAGAAAATTTTTGGGATTAGTTACATGGATGGGTTTGGTACAAATGCCAAAAATTGCCGGCTACTGGAACAATGATACAATTTTCACTAATCAATTTGTAAGGAAAGTCATGTCAAGGAGTCGATCTGAGATTTTGTTGAGAATGATACATTTTACTGATAATTCATTGGCAGACCAATCTGATAAATTGTACAAACTAAAGCCCATAATAGAAATTTTAGTGGCTAATTTCAAGTCGCTATACGTTCCAAATGAACACATCTGCGTCGATGAGACACTCTTGCCATTTAGGGGAAGATTAGGCTTTAGACAATACATAAAATCAAAACGACATAAATATGGCGTGAAGTTGTTTAAAGTGTGTTCTGATCATATATGCAGGAATAGAGACTAATCAGGTCACTCCAGAACGTATTGTACGTTATCTTCTTGACGACTTGCTATATCAAGGAAGGACACTTATAACTGACAGTTGGTATACAAGTTTGGAATTGACAGAGAAAATGCTCGATTCCAATACGCATTTAGTAGGAACAATTAGAAAAACACGAAAAGGATTGCCCAAAGAAGTGATAAATGCAAAGTTAAAAAAAGGAGAAATAATTTCTCTTGAAAACCAGGCTGGCATAACCATCAGCAACTGGAGAGATAAAAGGAATATGTATATCCTATCCACTGAACATGGAAATGACATGCAAGAAGTGTCACGTAATCGGCAAACTAAGATGAAACCAAAAGTAGTATTAGACTATAATAAAGGCAAAGCAGCAGTTAATTTATCCGACCAACTGGGGGCATACTCTAATCCTCTAAAAAAAAGCGTGAAGTGGTACAGGAAAGTGGCTTTCGAACTTTTATTAACGACATCTATGGTAAATTCTTATATATTGTATAAGCTTGCAACTGGAGAAAATATGTCAATGACAGATTTGAAAAAGCACATTATAAAGCGTCTAGCGACAAAAAATGAAGAGAGTCATTCAGAAAAACAAATACCAACACCCATTGTTCATCACGTCATTGAAGTGAAAACAGATGGAAGCAAACATCAACGAAGACAGATGTGCAAAAACTGTTAGACGAACAGTGAAAAACATGGGCGCCAATATGCCATGAACAAAACTAAAAAGGTAGATACTTTCTGTAAAAGTTGTGCGAACGAACCATTTTTGTGCATACCTTGTTTTAATATACTTCATAATCACTAAATAAGATACCATGTTTATTTTCATTTTTTTTTGAATAACGGTTAATGTTATTTTATTCATGTAAATATATTTGTTGGTCAAATAAAGTTTATTTTAAATCCAGAACCCTCCTTGTATCATGCTTGTATAGGTACCGTGTTCCAATAGGGACCACGTTTCTCATTATCGAAAAATCTAAGAAATTATATGTGCGGCCTATAGCTTCTAGGACATGTTGGTCCATTTCTACAGTCGTAGATGGTTAAATATGCGCCAACGGCCTAGCAGCTATTAGAAAATGCGTTGACCCCATGGGACAAGCATAGCCTGGTAAGGCAAAATATATATTGGACCCATCGGGCCAATGTGGCCTGCTGAGGCAACATGAGTATTGGTCCTATAGGACCAACGTGGCAGTGAACGTGTTAATGGGGTGCGGAAATGCACAAAATAATCAATTTTCTTCCATTTTTTCTGATTTTCTCTGTTTTTAAGTATGTTCGACGGTTCGTATCAAAACAAGTTTTTCAATAATCGCTAGGACAACATATCATCGTTCAAATGACATCAAATTTATCATTCTGTGACAATTACATACTCAGTTATTACAATTTCCATACATGCACTATCGGAATCGTAACGTAAAAATTAAAGTGGCTGCCATTTCAAGGGGGATGAGGTAGAACATTGTAGGGGGGTGGATTTGTCGATAAAAATACCCCTCTTTAATATCGGTATGTCGTGACCAAACACATTGTATATTGTGAAAGTCTGAATATATAAAGGACAAAGGCAATGATCAATAGTAGACTTGTTTACACTGCAGTATGCTGCATAAGGATTTGTTGGTACTCCTAGAAACTTTTCTTGTCGGTAGACCGGCTTCACGCAGCCCGACAATTCGACTCCTCTCAAAGTCTTTGCTGTGATACCTGGCGAATCGTATGCACTCTAGGCATTTTGAGCAATCACAAAAAGGCTTCTCAATAAGCTCCACGATATTTAACATTTGACTGACACCGTGAATGTACGAAAACTGAATGCTTGTTTATCACCAAACAATACACGCAGCCACCATAAAAACTTTACAGAAAAACATGACCCATATTATCACTTGTTTTTCTTAACACGATAAATCGATATGTAAAAAATTCTTAAATTCTAATAGACATATGTATACTAAAATTCAGCCCAAGTGAGACCACAACATCGCAAACTCGAAGCGTGATCAGCGCGTGATCGATGTTCCCGCAGAGGGTCTCATTATAGTTCAGGCATTTTACGGTTTGAAGTTGTAGTTTGAAGCGCTTGCTTTTTCAACTAAGTTTCATTTCGGAGCTTTTATTTTTCTATTTTTAAACTTTCCGCCCCTCATATTGATGCTTTTGTTAAATACAATGTCCTGAAGTGGCTCCAATATAAAACTCCATGAATTTGGAAAACATGCAGTTTCGAACATTTTTTAAGACCTAGTTAGACTGTAGCAATACAAAACCCGCCATTGCGCCGCGTTGATGTCTACAAAAACCAGAGTTGTAATCAGGCCGTGGCGTGGCGTCGAGTGCATCGCTGTTATAAGTTCTGCTATATCTGGTGTTTTTCGACCATGCCTTCTACCGACACAGCTGATGAAGGGAGAACTACATTGAGTCCACCCAGGAAACGATCAAGACAAAACCATTTGAGCATCGAAGTGAAAGAAATTATTTTAAATGTTTTCAAATGTGAAACGGAGGAAAAACCTGAGCTCAGCGTCAACGATGTTGTGCAGAGGGTGGCGAATAAAGTTGGAGTTTCTCGTGCATCGGTATTTAGAGTACTCAAAGAATATAAATTACGGAATGCATTTGCTGAACCTAAAACGAATCAGAACCGTAAAAGCCAAATTAAAGAAATAGCTGATGCTGACAGACATGCGATCAGAAGGAAGGTTCATGAATTCTTTTTCCAGAATGAAATTCCTACAATTGATAAGATTTTGAAAGTAGAGAATGAAGACTCAGATTTGCCGAATTTTATTAAAACGACGTTCTACAGGCTATTAAAGGAACTCAACTTCAATTGGCAGAAGAGAGGCCGAAACAGTTCATTGATGGATAGAGATGAAATTATACTATGGAGGAGAGAGTATTTGACAAAAATAGAAACATACAGGAGCCAAAACCGTAGAATTTACTTAAATGCTGGCCATACAAAATCAAAAGTTTGGGTGGGCCAAACAGTAACGTCAGCAAGAAGAGCGTTTTTAGATGGGCTTTCAACTGGGCTTAAAAACCCTACAGGTAATGCAGACATTCCATTTTAGAAAATCCAACAATAGTTATTAGATAATTTTTCATAGCCAAAGTGATTTAAATGAGGCATTACACGTTATCAGATATCTAGAAAAAACGAGGGGATGTTCACTCTGGAAATCAATGTATTCTACGTTGAAATTCTTTTGGTATCGATGACAAGATTTTTTACAACAATGCGAGCGTTGCAGAGACAACATACCTCGTCCGTCACGGAATGTAACACCTTAATTAACAACGTCAGACATTGCGTTGATTTGTAAATTTTTCGATAAGTTTGTCACACTTGATAATTTTTTAGTTTAATTGATGTTGCCAGTTTCTTTTTGTTTTTTAAGCTAACCAGATTCATCAACAGATTAAATGATGCATTGGTTGAAGTGTCCGATATATCTCACCGCATGCATCCCGCTATCATGAGAAACAATATAGCATCGTATATAAAATACAGAAATGTGTCCCTATCTCCGTGGCCTCAGTACTCTTGTGAAAGACATATAATGTACATCCGAATTTAACAAGTTTTATCTTTATAGGCAAAGGAAAAAGGCTCATTATTTGCCAGATCGGGAGTGTAGATGGCTTCGTGAAGGAAGGACTATGGTGTTTTGAATAAAAAAAAAACACTGACTACCACGAAGAGATGAATGGTAAAGCATTCGAAAACTGGTTTTTAGGCATTTTACCACGTCTTAAAGACAATTCTGTGGTGGTCCCGGATAATGCTCCGTATCATTCTCGGAAATTAGAAAAAATTCCAAATTCATCTTTTAAGAAATCAGAGATACAGGACTGGCTACGTGCAAAAAATATACCTTTTGATAGGTTTATGTTGAAATTACAACTTCTAGATCTTGTGAAACAACACAGAGCAAAATATGATAAATATATAGTGGACGAGATGGCAAAAGCGCACAATAAAATGGTACTTCGTTTTCCTCCTTACCACTGTGAGCTCAACCCCATTGAGCTCATATGCGCAGATATAAAGAATTTTGTTGCTGAACACAACACAACATTCAAGTTTTCCGACATGAAAGAGCTGTTCAACCTTGCGTTGCAGAGAATCACACCAGAAAAATGGTTAAAATGTGTGAAGCATGTTCAGGAGAAAGTGGAAGTTGCAATGTGGGAGCTAGACAACATAATTGAAAGGCATATTGAACCGCTAATTATCAACATCTATGATGACTGCTCTTCTAGTGAAAGTGAAAAATATTGATGTTGTCAAACACATATGTATAATTACTTTTTGTGCCCCCCTTTACTTTCAATCACCTCTATTGACTCTGTGACAGTAGTGTTGTGTTATTATTTTCTGATGTCTCTTTTTCAAATATTTAGTTCTGAAATATCACCTTAATATTTCCATAGTTTTTAGTCCGACCCTGCTCGGTTCTTGTGTCTACGACCATCATGCCAGCGATGCGTGCTGGTTGTTGTGTCTGGTCTCACTTGAAATGGATTCAAGTATAGGTATTTACCTTTTTTGTCTCTCAGTATATATTCGCGCTTCTCTCTCGCATGCACTACGATGTCAGTGATATTTGGGTTTCTCTGTATACATGCTCAATAAGTAAAATTGTTTGTGTTCTCCATATCTCCACAATCATTAAGTCAAAAGACGACAGCTTAAGTTCTCCCAACGTAGCAATCAAATAAAAAATATTTGAAATATCCTTTCTGCTCACTTTACAACTACCAATACCACTATGAGTCTACGAAATCTTTTATTTTTAGTTTCTGGTGCAGCTATTCATCCGAAATTTGGTATAAGGATCTCAGTAATCATGTTTGTTCCATGGATTGGAATTTTCTGCAACAAGGTTGGCGTAGACTTTAATGCACGCCGTTGCATCAAATATTAGCAGTTTCAAACTCTGGAATTGTATGTATATGCTTCTAAACTGATGCTCGTGCCGTTGGATTCCCGTATCAGGATGAATATATATCGTTGCTCCAGGCTTTCATATTGTGAACGTTGGAGTACGTGGTGACGATTTTCATCATCGCAGGCGCTATGAGGTAAGGATCTTCTTAGGGTGTCTATGAACGTCACATGCTGCCTCACCAAGTTTGCCAGTTTCTCGGTCTTATAGCCCAACAATCCGCTAAGTGGTTAGTTATGCCCACGTTACAACTTAGTTTTTCACAAAACGCAGAAATTTCCGTTCACTTCATATTAGAGATGATTTTTGATTATATGTTTTGTGTTGGCCATGTTTGGTTTTTGCTAAATTAGTCGAATTTTAGACTGATTAAGAGAAATAGACTGTACGCGAGCATTGAGGAAATTTAGACATAGCATCTCCTTTTCGATAATAAAGAATTCAAGGAAAAAAATCAAGTTTTTGCCACCACTAGTGTTCTATATAAGGTGAGTCCATAAAT